TCTGCAGGGAAGTGGTCACAACCCCAAGCCTGGCAGAGCTCAAGGAGCGTTTGGACAACGCTCTCAGGCACATGGTGGGGTTCTTGGGGCTGTGCAAGGAGAGGATCTGGATTTGATGATCCTTAGGGGTCCCTTCTAATTCTAGTTATTCTATGAATCTGTGATTCTATGTAGAGGTTAATGGGCATGCGATGAGATTCTTGGAGTTGTCCTGTGCAGGGCCGGGAGTTGAGCTTGAGGATGTGAGTCCCTTCCCACTCAGGATATTCTGTGATTCTACCAGCCAAGCCTCTCAGGCCAATCCTCCTGGGAAATGCCAAGAAATGGGGTGAAAGATGATATGGTGCTAGAAGTGATTTTAAACTCCATACAAAAATGGTCCATACAAATGACAAGCCAAAGGGCAGAGCTCTGGCTGTGATGTGAGGGAGCAGGGAGGGAGCTGGAAGGGTTCAGATCCTCTCCAGGACACAGATCAGGAGCCAAAAGACTCTTGAGAGGGTATAAGAGCAAGGGTGGAAATGAGGGAATTGGGGGTTGTTCCATCACGGAGGCCTGTAGGCTCATCCATGCCACACTGTGAATAAAGTGTGCCTCTGCTAAAAATCCTTCAGCTAAGAGCAAAGTGCTTTTGGCTTTCAGTCAGCCAGTCCCTGAAGATCAAGTCATGGACCAGCACAGTAGGAGGGGTGAGCTTTCAAGGAATGAACATCAGAAATTATTAGGGAAACTGATAGGGCTTATCCTGTGCCTCAGAGCCACCCACAGCAGGTCCCCAGGGTTCCGTTGTCCAGAGAAGGGATGCCAGAGAAGCACAAAGATGCAGGTGTTGGAATGCTGTTGTGACACTCTGGGCTTCAAAGCAAACTGGATGTAAAAAAAACAGGCCCTGCACAGCAAGGGAACTCAGCCAGGGCTATAACAAGCCATTCAGTAATTTACTTAAGCCACACTTAGCTCCCATCTGCATAGGGAGGGAGAATTACCTCTTTAATCTCATCCTAACCAGGCCCTTCCCCACGGTTTGTGTTGGCCCAGACGTGCTGGAACAGTGGCCTTGGACAAGCAGTGCGTGGCCTCCTTTGTCTCAAGTCTTGTTAAAGCTCAGATCCCAGGCTGAAATAGAAATGGAAATATATGATTGTGAGCTATTTTTCATGGATTGGTTTTGCGACCTCTTGCTAGAGCCTGTGGGTAAAAATCAGCTATAAGCCCCATGTAGGTCAGCCAGGAGGGCCTGTCCTGCGCAGGGAGATGTTAATCCATTTTATCTTTTAATGTTGGCATTATCTCTTGACTCACCCCATCTCTTCCCCTTGTGATTCTGCAGTCCAGGTCTCTTTTAGGCAGCAGATAATTCAACTAATTTCTCTGCACTGCCTGAGCAAAGAAACCATAAATCCAGAGTAACATCCCCAAGCAGTGGGGTCGTGAACCCCCAGATTTTGAGAACACTTGGCCTCACCAAGGAAAGGGCTGACAGGGAAAGTACTTTTGTTTAAGTTTTCCTTTTGCAAATGAGGTGGTTTAAATCAAAAACTCTTGTGAAAAGAATTCGTGCACTAGACTAAATTCAGCTGCCAGGATTAGGACCTGGTTCCTAAAGTGTCTGTAATAATTTTACTTCCCAACAACTTATAGCAAAATAAAATCAACTGTTGGCACCATGGCATTATTGGAGCAGGAGCAAAGGCACCTGCACATGACTGAATGGCCAGTAGCCCTAGGGGAAAGCTTGGCTACATAAATGCTGACATCATCCCAGATGCAGTTTATTCCTCATCTGTGTATGCTTCCCCCATGCTTCATCCATTCATCCTCACTCCTTCCAGCCTCGTAACCCCTGCAGCTGCCAGCACACACCTCCAGAGCATGGAGTGATAGGAGCTGTCAAACTCCCTGCATTTCCCAGGATCCAGACACTCAGCTGCTCGCTGGACTCTCATCTCACACCTTGGCAAGGCAAAGAGTGATGTCTGGGTGGTTGCATGTGTGTGGTTGTACAACCTCTTCCATCAAGTGTGGGGTGAGGTGAAGCCCCAGTTAATTACACTATCCCCCAGTTATGCTGCTCTGCAGAAACACCAGCTTGTGTACCTGCACCTTGAGAGAGCAGCTGCTAGGGAAGCAGAAAGCAGGCTGGAGGTGCCTTATCACCTGCAAGGGCAGCTCAGAAACTGCCACACCTGGCAGAGACATGAAAGCAAAGGGGAAGTTTTCAGTTCAAAGTGGCACCAAGGGATGGTGAGACTTGCAGCAACCTTCTTGCAAATATTGTTAAGATTGCAAAGATTGTTAAGACAAGTGCTGTTTGTGTTAATGCAGCCCAAGGATTTTGCAAGGAGATCCCAGGGTTTCTGTCACTCTGAGTTGTGCTGTCACATGTTCCACTGCTGCTCCTGCCTGCAGTAGTCACAAGAGCTTCACACTTCAGCCATGAGCTCTTTAGTGATTTTCAGAAGTTCAAAAATGAGAGGCCTGTGCTTCCCTACATAGCAAGGCAAACTTGGGAATTCTGAGACTTGGCCAGAAAACACAAAGGTTCCAACTCAAAATTCCAGGAATATTCCTACCCCTGTGGTACAAGAAACCCTTCAACATTTCAAGAGTTCCTCACCTCAAGATCCATTTAGCCTCAGCTCCTTCATCTCTGAGGAGCCTGAACAGAGGCAGGATTGAGTTCCTTATGTCTTGTGTAAACCAGCATGTCCTACTTCCACCTGGCAGGCTCTTCCTCCCCACACAACCGTTTGTTTCTGCCTTCAAATCTGCTTTTTTCTCACTTATCTTTTATCTTCATCAGTCTTTTCTCCCCAGTGGCCTTTTGTCCCTTCTCCTTAGACAGCATGCAATTCCACAGCTTAGGTAAAACCCAGGAAAGACTCTTTAATACAAGATAGATATATATTAGTATAGGGCACCCCTGGCGCTCAGCCCAGACTCAAAATGATCCCTTCGTACACTTTCAACCGGTGGTGTGGAACTGAGCATGAATCACACGCATCATGGAAATAAATGCTGCCTATTTTTATTAAGGTCTCTTATCGGTAATACTGGCAGTGGCCTTGTCCTTATGCATTAAACACAGCCTTTATTAATGTTCACATTCTCCACTTTTGTACAGTGGCTGATTTGGAGGCAAGTCAAGCCATGAGCGAGTGTATTGATGTCACCCTGAATGTTCACTGGTCCTGTTTTGAACCTGGATTACAACTGCTGCCTTCATCATGACTTAATGTTTTGTATCAGTTGCACTCAGATTGTTACCAGAAGGGTTAATTTGTTCACATTAAAGAATAGCCTGTCTCCTGGGATGTGCTAAAAAACCCAAGACTTTTCCCCACAAATGACTCTGCAACAAAGCCATAAAGGCCATAAAGATGATTAGGGGGCTGGAGCACCTCTCCTATGAGGAAAGGCTGAGAGAATTTGGATTGTTTAGCCTGGAGAAGAGAAAGCTCCAGGGTGACCTTATTGAGGCCTTTCAGTACCTGAAGGGGTCCTACAAGAAAGCTGGAGAGGGACTTTTTGCAAAGACATGTAGAGACAGGACAAGGGGAATGGCTCCAAATTGACAGAGAGCAGGTTTCGATTAAAGAAGAAATCCTTTACTATGAGGGTGGTAAGGCAGTGGTACAGGTTGGCCAAAGAAGCTGTGGATGCCCCCATCCCTGGAAGTGTTCAAGGCCAGGCTGGATGAGGCAGGTTCTAGTGGAAGGTGCCCCTGCCCACGGCAGAGAGGTGGAACCGGATGGTATTTTAGCCCCTTCCAACCCCAACCATTCTGTGATTCGAATTTCTGCAGCACAAAGAAGGCTGCCTTTGTTCCAGGGGAAGCATACTATTTATTTTAAACCTTCTCTATAACGCTGGTCCCGTTGACTCCAGAACTGTTGGGGTTGGGAGGACCCTCTGGAGATCACTCAGTCAAGGCACGGTACCCTGGAGCTCGTGACAGGGGAACTCGTCCAGGTGGGGTTTGAATGTCTCCACCAGAAGCCGCTCTGGGTCTGAGCGCCGGGGTCCCCGGCACCACCCGGACTCAAGGCTGGAGCTTCGCCGAGCAGCCCCAGGGTCCCGCCACCCGCCACCCGCACAAGCGCCAGCACAGCTCCAGCGGCTCGGGGACGTTCAGCCGCCGCCGGGCGGGCAGTGACCAGGCCCGCGGTGACTTCTCGCCCCACCGAGGTCTCCAGGGCATCGACCGACCCCCGCTCCCCGGCACGGCCCATCCTCTGGCGGCTCCACCGCGGCGCCCTCGGGCCCGGCCGAGGCATCCCGGCCACCGCTGCGCACCCACCCCTGAATGCGGGAGGGCGCTGCCTGATTGGCCAGCCGCGCTGTCACTCCAGTGCCAGAAGGCGGGGCGAAGAGCGAACGGCAGCGGGTGATTGGCCATGGCGGCGGCGGGCGGCCGCTGGGGTTGGCTGCGCCGGGCAGTGGCGGGTGCGCGGGAGGGAGGGGCGGGGGGTCCTGAGGCGCCGCTGTCACCGCCGCGCTCCCGCCAGGCCCGGCCCAGCCCCGTCCGCCCGCCCGCGGCGCGGCAGGACCATGTCGGCCACGGACGAGCGGGCCAAGGAGATCCTCCGCGGCTTCAAGCTGTATCCTCCGCGCGGGGGGCCGCGAGGCGGGGCGGGGGGCGCCGGGAATCGCCGCCCCGCTGTGGCGAGGGCCCCGGGGCGGGAGGCGGGTTGCCATGGAAACGCAGTGGTTCTCAATGGCGTCCGCCCGGCGGCGGAGGGGGTTGGGGGGTCCCGCAGGACTGGGACCGGCCCTGGGCCGGCTGGGGAGCGGGGGCGGGGAAGGAGCCCCCGGAGGCCGGGCTGGGGTCCCGTCCCTGCCCTGGGAGGCGGAGGGCTGGGGGGTCCCCGCGGCAAAGTCCGCACCGCCGTAGCGGCGGCGGCCACCGCCCCCCCGGCCCTCACCCCGGGCTGACAGGGCTGGGCCGGGGGCGGCGGCCCCGGGCAGCAGGAGCCCCCCGCCCGCAGCCAGGACAGCTTTACAGAGGGCAGGTGGAGTAGCTCTGCGCCAGGAGGATCTGATCCCTTCCCTCTTAAGCACCTCTGTCTGGAAAGGAAATACCTGGTCGTCAGGTCCAGGAGCAGCTAAACACCTTGTTCGTTGTCATACCGTGAGGTACTGGCACATGTGTTGGTCGTGCAGTGTCTTTTATTGCTAACGCTGACGTATTCTAGGTGTTAATGCCTTTCTGTGCAGCTCGTTTTGAAACTTTTCATGTTGTGGCTTTCAAAAAGCATTCTCATTTTATGTCTGTGTTATCTGAATATGAATTTAATGCTGATGAAGTGAGAGAGATCTGAGCTTGGAAGGGGAGCGAGAGCCTGTGCGCACCCTTCCAACCCAGAATTTCAGTGAAGTGGAGAAAGGCTCAACCTAAAGGCCCATGTTCAAACTAAGGGTGGAAGATTATTTTATATGTGGTATATTTTACTGTAGTAAATTCTTCTAACCTTAGAAGGCAAAGGCAAGCTTGCTAGCTTGACCTTTAGGCACAAGAAAATTGTTATGAATTGGTTGGTTTGTATTTTCTTTTTTACAGTGAAAAGGACAGAAGTGGAGGGAACATCCTCTTGATCTAAACCTATTATTTCTAAACAGGGTGGTGGTTTTTTTTGTTCAGCGAGATGTTCATAATCTCTTTGCCAGCTGTAGCAGGATCTGATTTTCTAGGTTGGATTTAGGCAGATAGCTGTTATCAAACTATAAGCAGATGCTTTTCTTAACTTTTTATAGAATCACTGCAGTCTCCCCCAGCTGTTACTGCTGCATCTGGATCCTTTGCTTCTGCGCTGGCACTATTGGCAGCTCTTTGTATTTATGAAGATGCAGTTTTTTAGCTGTCAAAACATAAATTAAAAACCTTTTGTGCTGGCAATTAGGAGAAGAATAAGCTTCTGACAAGACCATACTAAGCTGTCGGTGGAAGTGAGGAGTGCCTGGAAAGTTAAGCCTGGGGAACAAACTTTGCATGCTTTTTGCATGTGTTTGTACATAGTCTTTGGTGGACAGCAGAATTTACATCAAGGCCTTTGTCCAATTTTGGATTAAATAACCCTTTTTGTTGTTTGTTGGCGTAAGCAGAAAATGCATTTTGGTCTTTGAGAGGAAGGATTTTAGACAACAAACTTCTATGATATCAAGCAGCCGTAGTGTGGACAAGAAGCTTTATTAGAAGTACTCTGTAGTCTCTGTTGAATTGTCTCAAGTTTAATCTTCCTTTGCTTGTCCTTGCAAAAAAAATTGATTTTACTTCTGACAGGACAGTTTTAGGCACAACCTTGACATGTTTCTCCAAAAACATGCTAGAGTACTTTGATAGTTGCCACAGGGCCATGTAGTACAAAGTCTTATGAACAGGAAAGTTTAGAGAAGCATTTCATAACTGGAACTTTTAGCGAGTTGAAACAGTTGAAAACATCTATGTATGCCTTTGGTAATCCAGAAGAGTGGCTGAACAGACATTCCTCATTTATGAGGAAGCCTTGAGACACCACACCATCCCCACAGGAAACTGCTCATGCCCAGCTGTGGCTCCCTGTAAGGCAGACAGCAGCTCAGACTTCCCCTTCCTTGTCCGAGAGCAGGCCTGTGTTCCGGGGATCATGGCATTTTAGAGGTGCTTTATCTTCCACCCACCCCACTGCTGTGTGCACTGATTTAATTAATAGAAAGGAAGAGAGACGTGTTCTGAAATACTGTTAAGTTCATACTTTGAGTACTTGAAAACTTTTTCCTCCACTCCGAAGAGGGAGGGAGTTCTACTCTACCAACTCAAGCACAGCCTGCAATCTTGGCACTTCCGACTGAACTTGCTTTTAGCACAAGAAAGCACAGCATTGCCCCCAGGGGCTGTGTGCATTGGATTCCTTGTGTTTCAGTTGCTAGGGCAGAAAGCATCATTGAGGAAGCAGGCTCCCAAAGTACTTGCTAACTTTAACACAGGAACAGGCACTCTAGCTGGAAGTCCAGCTCACATTGAGTAATCAGAGTTTCCTCAAACAATTCTGTTTACTTGTGGTTCCTGAGAAGAGGTTAATTACAAGCTTTCCAACTGATTGGGACATGCTGCTGTGGAAATTAAATCATAGCCCAAATCCACCCTCTAATTTCAATGCAAAGATAGGCTTTCCTTCCTCTATGACACTAGTGCAGAAACATGTTGTGGCTAATGTCCCAAAATTCAAGCCAGAAACATTTGCTCCCTCTTTTAATGGATTTTGCTATTCTAAAGATATTAAAAGCAAAGGAAAAAATATTTGATGCTCACCTGCAAATGAGGATATTGTACCTAATTACACTTGTCCTAAGAATTTTTATAGCACCAGTTAAAACTGAACACTGACAGTCCAGTAAGTGTGGTGCAGAAAAATACTGATAGCAGACAGCAAACACTTGTCACTTCTTCAGAGACAGTATTTGATAACAGAGCTTGTGTGTTCATCAGCTCCCTGTTCTGAAGGCACTCACCTGAACAGCAGTTGTTACACCCAACAGAATATCTACAGGTAGTTTAGTACTATGAAAATGGCAGTCGTGGTTTGGCTTATAAGCAGCATCAGTTCACTTGGTAACTGAAGTTCCATTCCTGTGAAGTATTAGCCAAGTCTTATTTCTGCAAGTATTTATGCACATCTGGTCCTGTGATCTCAACTGCATGAAATTAGATTATGCCTCTTTTCTCCAGAAGATGGGACAGTTACTCTGTCAAGCTACAGAACAGCATTTTACTTGACCCTCACTTACCCTTTCAACACATTCTTCAGATCTCAGGCTGTCATTTTATCTGTAGAGTTAGTGTGTACTATTAAATGTACGTATTTAGCATCTTTTATCATAAGATAAACTTTCTTTATCATAAGAAAGTTACTCCAGTGATGTACTTTCCTAACAGGCAAAACACAGGGTTGTTGGTTTTTGATGGCTTCCCCCCAACAACTCCCTTGACAGTTTGTGGGTTGCCTGTGTACCTTTGTTCTGAGATGAACTAGCACAAAATTTTTTTTTTCTATGCACTTAAGTTCACTAGAATGAGGACACTGTAGACAGTTGTCCTGTTTAATTTGGTCTGCCAGCATTTGGAAAGCATCCACGCTGTAGATTAGAAATATCCAGTCATGGCTTGCAACAGCAGATTCACATCCAACTCTTGAGGGACCACAGTCCAGCTTCCTTATGTGCTTATTTCTGTGGTGTTTCAGCCAGAACAGCAAAGAGGAGAAAACCCAAAGGACTCAGTTGTTTCTCACAGCATGGTTATAGTGCCATGTCTTGCCTCTCAACATATGAGTAAGCACATCCGCTTTCTATTTTAAATCTTACAAGTCAAACAAGATATCACCTATTTTATTTGCTTCTGTACAGGGAAGTCTCATCAGAATTGGATCTTCATACTATTACTTGCCCTGTAAATATTTATTAGTTTTTAAGATAAGTTTTTCCATGAACTTCCATTTAAGGCCGTGCAGTCTATCTTACTGTCCTTCAGAAGTCTCCTGAAACAAATTAATATGGTGAACATAAACATGAAGAGACAACATTAACTGTAGGTCAGAACAATTACAGGGTTATGAAACCAGTGCTTGTGGTCAGTATAAACATACACTCGGGCACTCCAACATTTGTAGGCAAAACTTCACATGTCAAAGTCTGGCCCACTTTCTGCAGTCCTCAAAGTTCCCTGTGCAACATCCTCCTAGCTCGCAGTACCTTTTTCCAGTCTTCTCACCATTGTTTTTCTGTCTAGGAAATCTTTCTAGCAGAGCATTACCCTCTTAAAAAGATGGATAGAGCTGTAGTGAAAATACAGTTACACCAGAAACCATTAAAAGCATCTATGAACTCTATAGTACTCTGCAGACAGAGATTTCCAACTTCTGCCTGGTCTTCTGTACACACGGGAACTGTCCATCAGTTCCTAGAATAGTCACTGAAGTTTTGAACTAGTTTGATGCAGCTTTCTGAAGTTGAGAAATTTAAGCGGAAGCCACAACAAATTGAGTTTCCAATTTCCCTGTTAGACTGGTAGATCTTTAGCTGCTTATTCACTTGAAATGCTTATCTGTTGCAGTGTTTACAAAACTAACAAGGTAGCAGCTTTGATTGGCGCAAAGATTTCCCTTTGTTTTGAGATTTCTTCTGTGCACTTCCTCAGATCTCACTCTGTTTAGACTTCTTGCAATGGAATAGAAAGATGAACCCCCAAATTCATGGGTTACAAGGAGACAATGGCCAGCTAAAATAAGGAACAGAACTGCTTGGAAGCTGGGCCGTATGTTCTGTAGAGAGCCAAAGCAGAACTCGCTTCTAGCTTTTGATTATGCAGTTCTAAAACAGTCTGGAAAACATGAGTTTGTGCTTCCCCATTCATATTTCTGGTTTTTAGAACCGTCTTACTCTCTACAAAACTTATAATACTTTACAAGCAAGAGTTGTCAACGTTCCCAGTTAGTCTGACTGCAGAACAAGTTCCCACCGTGGCAGCACTGAGAGGTCTTTGTTTCACAGGCCAGAGTTTCACACAGAAGCTTTAGCCAGGTTGTAGATGGTAGTTAAGTGTCACTGTGGTCAAGGTACCTTTACCATATCAGAATTATTTCCAGCATTGACAGAAGTTCTGGAGTATGCAATGATTTATAGTTCTGGCATGCTAAACACACACTCCTAATGTGTCTTATGACTGAGTCATGAGGAACACCTGCAGACAAAACAGGAGCAGTTTCACAAGATTTGGTTTTACCTGGTTGGTTCCTCAGTGAACACCAAAAAAACTTCATGTCTTCCCCTTGTTAACTTTCTTTTGAAAAACTATAAATATTTAACTACTCTTAACCTGGGATTTGCATTAACCTGATATCTGACTGAGCTGCAGTCAGTTGTCTACATGTCAGATATAACACAATACTCGTGTTGTGTTGGAAGTGGGGCTTTTGTGCCTTTGCCATTGGAAGGGGCATCCAGAGCTCCACTGCCACAGGACACAAAGGGGCTGCCAAGTGCTACATAGAATACATCTGATGTCACCTTGAAAGTGTAAGTTGACATTGGTGTTCAGGTTTTTCTTTTCAATCAGCAATATTGCTCTAGCAATTTGTAGTTAGAATTTTATTTCTAAAATT